GTGAAATACCTGCGCAAAACAAAAACCTCGTCAAGAATTCCTATTCGTAGGACCTTTTGAAAGTCTGACAGAGAAATTCTATGTTAATTTTGCAATAATCGTTTTTATACAGAACATTGATCTTAACATCAGCTTGTTTAGAAGAGTAATTTGAGTTGGAAAAGCGAGAGGAAAAAAATTGCGAAGTGAGATGTACTTGAATTCCAGGAGTCGCATCAAAATATGTACCATCGGTATGCGGTCCTATCTCTTCATTGCCATAAGCCGTATCTTCGTATTGCTGTTCATCATCATTCTGTGCAATTAAATGCCTAATTCATTCCAATTTGATCAAAAAATCACTAGTAAAATTTCAGAGGAATCTCCAAGTGGTGAAATTATCATCAAAACATCGACCCTTAATAAAGGCTGTGTGAGAAACACTGACTAACGACTTCATGTATTGGGAGCAGGGCGATAACCGAGACTGCTTCGTATAACTAAATGGAACCAATTTAAGTACTAAAGGCAAGTTTCTTCAACGCGAATAAAAACGATCATCCTCATCCTTTCACAGGAAAAGAGAAAGGGAATGGCATTCTTGGGATCAGTTTTTAAGAAACGACATGCTCCCACTTCCCTTTCCTATTTTGTTTGTTCATAGGACAATTGATGAGTGAACTGTATTTCAGCTGTTCATTTCAGATGGACAAGGCGTGATCAGCCTAAACAAGTGAACCGGAACACATACACTCTTAGTGGTTTTCGATTCGTTATCATCCTCATTGCCGAATGTCCAAAAATCTCCGTAAAAAGTGTTGTGCAATGGAGCAATCGTTTCGCAAAGCCGTCGTGTAGCCTCAGGATTGACTGGATCAACACCAGAAATCATTACAATACCGTATTGCACAAACAACGAAACAAATTCAGACATTCTGAAGTTTGACCTGAAAGATATGTAGATGACATTGTATTCGAACGAGGTAATTTTCAGAAAAATGATTTACAGTATTCAAATTTGAAGGCACTATCAATGTTGAAGTTTTGTTTGAATCTTGGTGGTAATAACACGTTTTGGCTTGAGTTGGATCTTTTAGAATGAGGCACAAATCAGACTCTTCAACTCACAGTTGAATTGTGGGCAGTTTTTGGAGCTTCGAACGGTCCCACAGCTTAAGTGATTTCTTCCAATCTCGCAAAGTCTGCAAGCAATCCCAATTCGGTTGGAACCAATCATTGACGACGCAAGAAAAAGCTCTAATCATAAGAGTTATTTAAAAAATGTAATGCTAAAGAGCAGAACATGTGCTTAAGAGTTGCATCTTCAGCCGGTATTTGATCAACGGATAAGCGCATAATCACTAACTTTGCNTGAAGTGATAGAGCGATAGCTCCGTCACCAATGATCTCATCGCTCTGTTCCAGGAGGACTGACGAACAATGCATACAAACAAGTTCCAGATGGATCGATGCTTTTACAAGGTGACAAATATTAGCTGCTGATCAACCAAGGCGTATGACGATGCAACAAAATGGTGATGAAAAAACTGATTATATTTAACGAGAACAGAACAGCATTTGAACTGTACGAATGGTTCAGTGAACTTTATTAGTGAATGAATAATTTTATGTACTTCGCTGTTGATAGCTGAGATTTGTTAAATATATCCGTCATTGAGGATTTACGTTGGTTAGTTGATCGATCAAAAGAGCTTGAATCACGACTGTGATCCCGTAACCAGATCAGTGGTACTCGAAGTGATGATGTTCCTTGCTGGGAGGGTTGACCTGAAATTCAGACGGTTGCTCAGAGGGTCGATTAGAGAAGAACACGCATCCCGTTGCGTGGGAGTTATGTCGAAATTTCTTGGAGATTACGAGAGACATTCAAAGAAAAATTGAAGCAAACCTGCTCGGTAGTTGCTGCTTCATGACCAAGAAGTGTGCATGACCAGTGCAGGAAACTTCAATGGTTAATGTCAACATCGAGAAATTCACCAACCTGAATTATGCACTTCGAGCAGAAGGCAACTATTCGATGTGTCATCGCCATTTTGAGAATGCTGACTCTCAATTTTTACTCGTTTGATCCGGAAAACTTCACGCACATTTGCAACATTTCTGCTATTACTAGAGGCCAAACGTAGTAGTTTAACATCAGTCCACTTCATGTTGCAGAAGAGCATCCGCTGATGTCGCATAGACATCCTCAATAAAAGTGTCATTCGTTAGCTCCAATTTTATCGCTTTCCAGCAAACAGCCGCAATAATGCCCGACTATTTTATAGGTTCATGAATATCAGTGCGTCACAAATAACGACGATGCAAAGGATCGACAATGACCCAAATGCTAAGATATTCAATGGTGATTGAGATGGACATGAGCTTAAAATTACGACGTGATGAAAACAAAACAGTGCAACCTTGTTTCAAGCACATTTTGTTCCAACGATCTGTTCATAACACGAATCTGTCGTAATGCCAAACGCATTTTTCCATAGTAGTCAACGGAAAATAAAGTAATTCTCTCTATCCAACAATACCAATTATGAAAGAGGCAACGATGATTTTAACGATGAGAGATTTTTATTCGAGAAGACATGTTACCCTGAGAATCGCACAGTTCCGGTGAAATTCGTCGAATGAATCGCTGTCGCACAATGAAACTGAAGAAAACGAACACAACTATGCTCATCCGTTCATATGAATCAACGCACGGTGGTCATAAAGCATAAGATGTTTCCTGACAGAGTCATTGTTTTTTACGTCTTTAGAAATGCCATCTCGCACAATCCAACTGAATCCTTTTATTCATTTTCAGCCATAATAACAAGCTAACAACAGAACCCATACAATAACAACAGAATATCTACAAGAACTTTGAAAAAATCTACTGATATGTCAATTAGTCACCGATAATTAATTGATATGCGACATCACTGCACTATTAATATTCGTAATATCACTGTCAATACTGTCAACGTTCATTAAAATTAAACAAATGAATGGCACCGATTGAAATGAATCATATGACTAGAAAGAATTGAATTATTATGATACAAAAATTCATTAAGCTGGGACATTTTCTGTTCCTGGATATACTCGTATAGACTAGATTAATCAAAAACATAAAACCCTGGATAAAACAGTGATAAGCTAATAATATCGCTTTTTTCGGAAGGGTAAGAAGTATGACATGGAAATGAGAGAAAGCTTGGGAAGGACTTCTCCTCTGGACACTTCTGCAAGTACGAAGGAAGATTAGTTATTTCCAGGGTTTCATGCTGGGTTTGACCAGGAATGTGGTAAAATACACGTCAATGATGATGGTACAATGCAACGCTCAATAATGAGGACAACAGTGTTAATGGGTTACAAACGTAAAGCGTTAGTTAATAATAATAAAGATGATATGGGCACATCATGCCCAGGTTTCGGTTCACGCATCAATTCAATTGTGCCCAAAATCACGAACGACGACAATTTCATTTCCGTTGTGTCGTTATTCTCGATTTCATTTGACTACTGAATTAAAATTTTACAGAGTACTAAAGTGCCATCTTCCAGCACAGACAATGTTATAATCTTTGCGGTGATGTTGTTAATTTCGTGAACCGCGTTTGGACTAGTTATACCGAGCGAATTTGGGCAAGTGCATGATAATTATTTAAGTACAAATATTCGAATATAATACGTACATCAAATTTGGTGGATCAAATCGTAGTAATAACGTAAGACGACTCATGATGCGAGAAGGTGGGTAAGGCTACATCGTAAATCACTTGGTCATGACGAATCTAATAGCAACAATTGAGTTAGACAGCACATAGCACCAAGCATGTCATCGGATAACTTGCAAACATCGTATGAATGACTTGGACGCAATTCAGCGTCGTCTGCTTAAATCAGGCTGATCTTGCTCTAATGGTTAAGTTTATGCTACTCATTTGGATGCATTCCTTTCGGAGAACAATTTTACAAAGATCTCATCAAATCAGTGGCTAAAAGGGGAATACGTGCTCGGCACGACGTTCTAACTCTCTTATCACGTCCAATATTACCAATTTCCCACGTATCGCACTGATATATCCAATATGTATCACCAAGTTCGTATCTGTCTGCCTTGAAACAAACGGCGAACCATCCAACTGATCGTCTTTAGCAAACGAACTTGGCCATTTTGGATGCTTTAATCTGCCTCCAATATTCAACTGAGTGCCATTGTTATCTGCCTTCAACCACTTGAAGGGTGCTCTTATTTCCGAAGATTTTCGACCGATAACAGTATGGTTATCGATCATGAAAACGGGTTCCGAGTCGGACGTACTGTCGACAAAATATGAAAGCATTCGATTTATAGAGTCGGTACGATAGATAACGGCCGGTGTGCAGCAAGATTCTGCAACGGTGAGATATGCAGACGAACTGGTCAGTGCGTAACGTAAGTCGGCGAAAATCTGCAAATTACAGAAGTGAATCTGAGTGTTGGTTGGGGAACGGATCTGTGCAGATTCAAACTTCGATGAAACTTGTCAAAAATTAACTCAAAAAACTACCCACACCTCTCTACACTGAAATTATCAACCTGATAATTGTAGTGAATGTGGATGTGATAGATGAGAAATGTGAATGTTACGATTAACGGTAACCATCTTATTTGACGCCATATAATTTCAGTTAGCAGCACAGAGATGGCCAAACACGTCAGTGAAATCTGAAGTCAGGTTTCTGATTACCACTGAAGCGAATTTAAGAATAGGGAAGATAGCGGTACCAAGTGGTCTACGACTTACTCATGATTAAGATTAACTCATATTCAGGATATCAAAAACATTATAGTATCTTTGACCACCAATTTCGTATTTGTCTGTGTTTAAAATGTTTGTGATAGGTTTTTAGCTTTGTGGAGAAAACGGGATCATAAAAATCAACTTTCCGTACTTTTTTATGGTATATACGGGAGAGCACTAAACTGATGATAACCTGGAAGTAATAAGGAATTTTCCTTAGATAACGCGGATGATAGAGCTTAACGAAATCAATCTGTGGATTCGAATCCATTTGTTGAACAACGGAATTCAATAAAGGCATAAAATGAGGTACAGGTATAGCATCGTCTTCGATCAGAAGAACGTATCTGAAAGAAAAATAACGTGAATTTCCCTGAATCGTTTGCGCGGTTCTGAACTGCATTCAACATTAATGATTGTTCTTGGATGAATAATGAAATAAAGACCTCGCGTTGTTCGTCAACCTCAAACAATTCCAATAATCTTCGGATTCTTTTTTGATTTTTTCTGCATAGTTCGTCAAACGATCACTTTTATGGCTTTTGCTCGTGACTTTTATGGTAGGTACCTGGGATCAATTGAAAAATCAGATTAATGGATAGTATGAACTAATGGAACGAATAATGCCAACAAATCATTAACATTTCATCAAATGTCGGTTTCAAACATTTTTTGAAGTGCAATTTTGAAATGATCACTCCACTCCATATTAAAAACTCCGAATTCACTGTCGCACTAGATTTCCAGGCAACAGTCAATGAAATTCATCACCATTTACTTGTAATTGCAGTTTGTTCGTATTCAATAATAAATACATTACAGATTTACAATTGCTGACGAAATTCGGAAATGAAAAAAA